CAACAGCCCAGAAAAAAAAAAAAAAAAAAAAAATTCGCAAAAAACGACCACACAGAAAATTGGCCATAGGCGACACTTTAAACGCTTTTACTGCTCATCAGTTTAGTGTTATCAGTGATTGATGGCCCTAAAATAACATTTGCGGCGATATGTAACATGTGCGGCACAATAGGCGTTTTCACACGTAGGCGCACCCGACGCATGTTTGCGTGTGTATGTGGGGGGACTTTAAAAAAAAAAAAGTGTGTTTTTTTTAATTACTTTTTTTTTACGCTTAAATTTATTGCTATCACATGAGGGGGCTAAGAAGCCGCCTATGTGATAGCCAATTTACATGACAGGTCCTCTTTATGGAGACATCAGGGGTCTCCAAGACCCCTAATGTCACCTAGGGACCCCCAGAGAAGCTGATGAAGCACAGATCTGCTGCACCAGCTTCTCCCAAGCTTCTGAAGCTGGAGAGTGACACTGAATGCAGGAAGTGATGTAATATACATCACTTCCTGCATTCGGGACTGAAGAGGAGATCAGAGGGAGTTTGTATACTGAACTCCCTTTGATCTCCTGTCACAGCGCAGCCGTGCCGGTCCTGGCCATCCTGGACACAGCGGATCTCGGAACCGGCAACGGCAGTGACAACAGCGGCGCCGTTACTGGGGGGGTACTCGGGGGAGCTGGGGTGACACGCCCTCCCGCTCCTATAAGGCAGTGATCTCACAGTGAATTCACAGAGTAATCCTTTAACATAAACAGAAAGGAGTATAGGAGAGAGTCATCAAGAGAACTTCCTAGCACGGAATGTACATAGGAGTGCGCCAACAACACTGTGCATGTCATTTACACACAGACTACCCAGAAAATACTCTGCCCAAAACAGAATCAAAAAAGGGCAACGTCAAACAGCTGAATGTGTAGCTGAACCTCTTACAGTTAGGTCTGGAAATAATTCTGGCTCTTACGCCACCACAATGGAACAAACCGAGATGCAATTGAAATGCAGACTTTTACTTTAATTGAATTAAATGTTTAGGAATTGCAACCATTTTCATACACAGTCCCCTTATTTCAGGGGCTCAAATGTAATTGGACAACTTAACACAATCATAAAGAAAATGTTAATTTTTTATTCTTTGTCGAGAATTCTTTGCAGGCAATGACTGCTTGAAGTCTGGAATGCGCGGAGATCACCAAACGCTGGGCGTCTTCCTTTGTGATGCTTTGCCAGGCTTATACTGAGGCTGTCATGGGTCTTTCTGCCTTCAAAGAGAACTATGGAGTAACCTTTTTCCCCCCACATTTCTCTTTAGGGTCAAGGGAGGACATATACTAATGCTATTGCCTGCTATATGCGGGGAGAGAGCCGCAGCCGGGACAGACCCCGACAACACTGTGGAGATCCACCGTGCTTGATGATTGACAGGGGACTCTGCCCATGTAGAGGCAGAGCCAGCTGTGCCCGCCCCTGGCAAAGACAGCAATAAAGACCTGACAGGGGTTGTAATTCCTCACCAATACTGTATTCAAATCTAGAGGGAGGAAAAATAGTTTTCCCTTTACTTACACTTTACCTCCTGCAGAAGAGCAGCCTTCCTAGTCTGGGATAGCCATTTGCCCCATTAATTCTATTCTCTATCTCTGAGGGTGTCACTTCTGCTATGAAAGTTTGACAGCTCTTTGTTGACATGCTCCAACTGGAAATATGAAGGATCCGGGTGGAAAATTGTCAGCCGAAGAGAGCCACCACTTTTCTTGGGCTGGAGGATGACAAGCATTATCTAGCCCGGGGGTGGGCAAACTCTGGTCTTCCAGCTGTGGTGAAACTACAAAGCCCATCATGCACCTGCCTTTTGGGAGTTATGCCTGTGGCTGTCAGGATCTTGCAATGCCTCATGGGATTTGTAGCATCACCACAGCCTGAGGGCCGGAGTGTGCCCACCCCTGGTCCAGCCCTTTCTCCACCAGCCTAACTGCCCCAGCCCCTTTGATTCACCGGATTACAGTTCTTATTAACCATGGAGGCTCATAATCACACAGAGGCATTACCTAGGGTAGGCTGCATGCAAAAACTGTCCCCCTAGGACCCCCCACTCCACCACCTACACGATTGCTCTGGATATAAACTATGTAAAGGCTACTTTTTTTATATCCTTGTAACGTGTTGTCTACCTTGCAGTCTTTGCTGTCCTCCCTTGTCCTTATGGTGGATGTAGACGACTGCTCAGCTTAAATTAGTACCGAGCCAGGGCCATCCACAATTCCTGTGCTCTGTGACACCAGCCCTTTAATAAGCACATGGTTGTCACCTGGTGTGATCATCCCCCACTGGAAACTACAATTCACAGTGCTAGCACACGACTGACCAACCCAACACCCTCATTTGTAGGTTTTCTATGCAGAGATGACAGTGCGCAATAGTCACTGGGAAATGTAGTATTAAGTAGAGATGCACCAAAATGGAATTTTTAGACCAAAACTGAAAATAAACAATTTGTGAGGCGGAAACCGAAAATAAAGTTTTTGTTCCCCCAACCTCTTTCAAATTTGTTTTAATTATTTTTACATTACTGTTGGGGGCTCTGGGGAAACAGACACTTGATATTTCCCTTTTAAAATAGAAAATTAGTCCTAAATCTCTTATTCTGCAGCCCGTTATGAATGAACAGCAAGCCTCTATACTGGAGTATTCCTGTCTGTTCATAAACTGTGGAGATACCGGGTTTCCCCGAAAATAAGACACTGTCTTATATTTTTCTTGGCTGAAAAAAAACACACTAGGTCTTATTTTCGGGGCAGGTCTTATTTTCTTTTTTAATGTACAACAATCCACACTTATTCACGTAGAAAAGTCTACATGTATTCATGTACAAAAATATGGTGATCAGGGCAATCAGGGGTGCCGTACCTTTCCAAGTACAATTTGCTAACCAATCACTGGCCAGAATGAGCGAAGCGCACTTTCACTATCGATTCCTTACAGGCAGAGTGCATTTGGCTCTGCTCCCTCTGGCTTTGTTGGCACCGCTGATTCTCTCCCACAGCTCTTCAAAGTTCCCCCTTATGCCACCACCGGCCCAGGGAATGGTCACAACTAGGTCTTATTTTTGGGGTAGGTCTTATATTTTAGCAATTCCCAAGAATAGTACTAGGTCTTATTTTCAGGGTAGGTCTTATTTTCGGGAAAACACAGTAGTATGTCCACAATCATGACTGAACAGGACGTGAAGCACCTGTCCATTCATAACTGAGGTTGCACAATTGGTGGCTGACTAAATACTTTTTTGCCCAACTGTATATAGCATACTATGTCCTCAGTTTTTTACAAACACTCTGCTTGTACTCTGCTCTCCATTCTGACTCCTCCGCCTGTCACAGGAGACTGAGCTGGGTGGTGTGGGAGGAGAGCTCAGCCTCCTGTCACACTGCTGACAGCTCACTCCTCCCCGCCCCTGCATTCTGAAGCCCGGGACACACCGCATGCAAAGCAAAGGGAAGCGGCAGCATTCAGACCTTCGCGAGCAGTGTGCCTTGCAATTTTCTCTCTGGCGCGTCAGATTGCAAAATGACTTGAAAAAATGTAATCTTCAGCCAATCGACTCGCATGTATAAACCCACGCATCAGGATGCAAAGTCCATTGAGTTGTGCGAGCGCCAATTAGCTGTAGATGAAGTATTTCAATCCGGGCGCACTCAGCTACTCAAGCTCTCACACACTGCGTATGAACGTTGCTTTGCTCCACACAGCTTTGCATGCAGTGTGTCACAGGCTTAACATTTTCTCTCCTCCCTGCTGGGCGCTGGTCTGTGTCCCCTCAGATCCCCGCTGGCATCGGAGGGGACACTGATTGGCACCCAGTGGGGAGGAAAGAAGTTAGGGATGCGCTGAATTTACGGCCGTCATAGTACTTTCTGCATTTTGTCCAAAGTACCATTTTTGATCGAAATGTTTTGGGGGCCGAAATTCCGGTGCATCCCTAGTATGAAGGGCCACGTCATATGTCAGATATTGAACGCACACACAAGGATGCGATGCACAAAAACAGAATGGTTTTAACACAGGGGAGATTTGACAACCTGAAGTCTCGTGTATATTCGATTGATGTCCAAGTCCCATCACACTCCTGACCGGTAAGTCCCTGTGAAACAGGTGGGTGCAGCAGTGCCAAACGGATGGCGCCGCTCGATGTCAGAAAAGAAGGGGTCACTGGCACTCCAATATGCTGATGAATACACCTTTATTGACGCATGCTCAGTATCACATAACACGACGGTTTAGGGCCACGCAGGGTCCCCATTATCAGGGGAAACAGTGATGACACCGACACATAGCTCTACTATGATGTAACACGCAGAAGTGATGGTAGCATTGTACGAACATCTAGGAAGCAAGACAACATGAACTTCCCATCAGCTAAACCTGAGCCTCAGTATTCTGATCCACACAAAGAGACCCGCCTATGGCAGCCTAGTCCTGTGTGATGACTCTGGAGATCTGACAGGTAAACAATGATGACAGACTCCAGGTGATGGATGTACAGGACAGCAGAGACTCAGCTGTGACAATGGAAGAACACAGGCGTCATCCCCACAGGCCTCAGCTGAGAATGTGTTCTCACCCGGCATGACGCACGGACAAGGACGCTGTCAGGGACTGTGTGTGGTCTCTGCTGGCCGTGGAGGGTGTACAGGCTGGGCACAGGTCACACACAGTTGTTGTGCACCGTCAGATTTACGGTGGTGACACCGGCAAAAAAACAGAGGCCTCCCACAAGCACGGTCAGCGGCGAAGGGAGACTGCAGACACTCTTCATCCGGCGGAAATTACCTGCTAACGGAAGCCGTCGTCTCCCCGCACTCTGTCCGCTCCCACTCCGCCTGGCCGGACGGTGGACGCTGGATTCCGGGGGCCTAAAGGACCTTTGCTGACATCACAATCATGTGACTGGGCTCGGAGTGACGCCGCTCTGTCACGTGACTGCAGGGCTGGGTAGGGCACAGCGACAGGGCGGGAGGTTTGAACGGAGACGCTGGCTGAATCACATGACCAGAGTTACGTCTCCGGCCAGTATGGGGAAGGGGACTTTTAATTCTAAACATGGAGGGTTGGCACTGTGCTGCCTTCAACTTCTTCTAAATATGACGGCTGGCCAGACTGTTACTCGAATACTGATCTAGGCTTGGGGCCCATTCACATATGCTTTGGCTCCAGGGCACATAGAAGAGGCAATTTATTCCATCAGGTCCCCTTCTAGTGATTGACAGCAGCAGAGGGCGGGTGCAATATGTATGTATTCAAGCCAAAAAATATGTAAAACACACCTCTAGCTATGCATTCCATGTTCCCGGTTCGCAGCTGCAGAGATCGGGAAATGTCTCAGTGCCTGTGATTGGCACTGCGTGCTGTCAGCTTCCTGGCGGGCTCGGCACGTGGAGCTGCGAACACGCCCGAGCCCATCACTATCAGTGACAGTACTGCGGAGTACTGTCACTGATAGGGAGTACATTATATAGCCACACACTTTAAATCCAATTCTTCTAGTTCCAGCTGCAGAGCCCGGTCCTGTCTTTGCCTATAGCAGTGGTTCTCAACCTGTGGATCGCTGTGCAAGGTGAGAGTCCTCCTCAGCTTTCTCCTAGCGCAGCAGTGTCAGTTCTCCTGCCACGCCTCCAGATGTCGCTGCAGCAGCCGCGTCATCCCTAAATTTTACCTTTGGGGGTCACCACAACTTGGCAAATGTTACCAAAGGGTCCCGGCCCTAGAAAGGTTGAGAACCACTGCTCTAAGCCCTATATATTCAGTTAACATTAATGCGCTGCAGGTTGCATTTGTGTACACAGCACGTTGTGACACACAGCACCACATCACAACATGCTGCAGTGCACAGAAGTGAATGACATGTCATTGTGTGACAAGTTAAAGGGTTATTAAACCCTCGCATGTTTTTGCATATATCTACAGCTAGCAAGCAGTAGATATATGCAAAACAATTTTAAAAAAATACTTTTTCAAAGGGCTAATAACTCTGTCTCCGCCGCGTGCTCCCATCCAAACATCTGAAAATTTCTCTGGCGTCCGCAAAGGATCTTGGGGCGGGCGCATGCGCAGATCAGATGTTTGACCGGGAGAGAACGAGAGACACAAGGTAAGTCTATGGAGCAGCGTGCACCCGCACAGACTCCGTGGGACATCAGAGGAGTCAGCGCTGGATCGGAGACCCGCTCCAGCACTGGAGGGACAGCTTAAAACTACTGGAAAGAAGATGATGATCGGGTTAAGAGGCATCATTTAAGGTAAGTCCTTACATTAGCACTGTGTGGGGGAGGGGATTTTGCCCTTAATGTCACTTTAAATAAAAGAAAATGGTGCAATGCATTGTAACAACACCTCCCCTTACACAACGCACACTAGCGGGCGCACGTATAATCAATAATCATCATGCCTCTGTCTCCGGTAGTCCTGACTATGGCTATCAGGGTCTTGCGATGCATCATGGGACTTATAGTTCCACAACAGCTGGAGCTCCAAGATTGTCTACCCCTGTCTTACAGTATTACAGCCAGAAGGAAGTCAGCAAGGGCAGCTTCTGTTTCTGTCAGTAGGTGTTTCCCATGAACTCAGAATGGTGAGAAACATGGAGGCTAACATTGCTATCTTCTTCAGAGAATGCTAGTTGCCTGGCTGTCATGCTGACCCTCAGGCTTTGATACTGAGTCACAACAAGCAAGTATGAAATTTATGGACTTTTCTGATCTAAATGCTTACAGAAGAAGTCCAGGGAAAAAAAAAGTATTTTCTGTTCATTAAAAGGCACAGCTGAATCTTCCTTTTACTGGAAGGGTTATACCGCCACCTGCAGGAGTAGGACGCTAGGCAACAAAAATGAAGATTCAGCTGCGTCTTTCAATGAACGCAGAGAAATATATATATATAAAAAAAAAGTTATACTCACCTGAACCGTAGAGTCGGTTTGTTCTTAGACCGGTCCTTCCAGCCTCTCTCCACTGCATTGGTCTAAGGTCTGTAAATCATGTTCTATACAGTATAATATATGTGATTACAATGATCAGCTTTTTATTCCTTTATGTAAAACCTTTATCGCAAATAAACTGTTCCTGTACCTGTTCAAAAAGCATTAGCTGGAGTTTGGACTCAACTTGTTAGTCAAGTCCATGTAAACCTGCTAATACATCCAACACTACACTCCCCACTGGGTGACAATGCTGCCATCTAAGGAGGGGTGGGGGGGGAGTCTTCATTGCTCATCCTAATACAGGAAGTGTGTTACTGGCCGGATCACCAGTGACAATAAAGGGGAAAAAAAGCCTAACAAGAAAACTAATGGTAACCAAGAAAACATTGGTAAGCTGCAATAGATTACATTTTTGTTTTGGGGTGTAGGCACTCCTTACAAAAACTTCCACAAATCAAAGACGTTTCCTTATTTTTAATTTAGTCCACTTTGGAGCCAAACACCCACGTTATATTTGTTACATGTTCTCCTTCACATAGCATTACTTGGAAAACAAAATTGCTGCTTATATTTTTAAATGCTTTTTACGTTTTAAAAAA